GCGCTCAGCCAGACTGCCCATTCCCAAGCCTCTCCTGGCAGGTGACAGCACCTGCTGCCCACAGACGCCAAGGCGCAGGGCAGGCTTTCGAGCTCCTGGCTTTAACTACGGGGCTTCTTGATGAGATGAGCTGTCTGCTCCCATAAAGATGTAGTGTTCCACTCTGTCCTATGAGGTCACTGTGAGTCAGCACCACCTTGAAGGCACTGGCAGTGGGTACCGGACTGACCAAACAGGATAACCATGAAACAGCCTGTCTCACTTCACTGTGAGCCCAGGTGTCCGTGCACCAGACACCTGCCACCCACTGTCACCTTCAAACAGGAAACGGAGACAGAAACCTGGAGCGCTCACCTGAAGAAGGTGAGGAGGAAGACGACAACGTGATGGTGGCTGAACCGGGAGAGGAGTGTCCCCCTCCGGGAGCGGTCTGGCCAGGCCATTCTCCCACCGCCCTTCTCAGCTGTGCCGTTGGTGCCTGGAGAGTGAAGGGTTCATATCATCTCTTCTTTCTGGAACACACACACACACACACACACAGCATTGCTCAGAGCAGGCAGCGTGCCCCAAATGGATTTCTTTAGACTTAAAACCAATTAGCCTTGGAAGAGCTCTCCTGGGCTAAGTGACACAGGAAAACTGCACTGATAATCATGTTTTGCAACCAGGGTTGCTGCTAGGAACAGAAGTGCTACTTCAAGAGAATGTTTGCATGCCTCAATCATGTGACTGAGAGGAGAACTTCCCATGGCTGCTGATAAAGCAGAAATGAGTACAGTCCTGAGAAGCCGGCTCCCACGGCCCTCAGAGAGCTGCCGCTGTGCTTGTAAGGATGCTGCATGTTCATTATGTTAATAGCAGCCAACACCAAGTAATCATAGAGCAAGCTTCTAGGCCTATGTGCTCAGTTACAAGCTTGCAGAAACCACCTCAAAGGCCACATAAATGATGGTCCAGCCACAGGCTGAGACCATGTCATCACTCAGCTCGACGCACTAAGAGCGTTTTCAACTGAGTGAAAAAATACCACATGAAACACGAGGAGGCCAACGTGACTCCACACCCACTTACAGGCTACAAATGCGCAGCACAGCTCTTCTACCTAGAGATGTTCTGGGCAACTGCTCCTCTTCCTCTATACAATGTCCTAACCGTCCTCTAATGAACAAGGAGAGTACTTTTACAATGGGGGAGGGCCACATCCAAAGCATTGGGAAAAGCCCAATGGTTTACCATTAGGTTAGGAAAAACACAACTGAAAGACTAAGACACTTGAGATACTGGGATTGGGGGGGGGTGTCTTAAAATGCCCACAGACAATGTGTATTATGAAAAATGACAGGGAGAGGGGGGAAAAAAGAGGAGCTGATACCAAGGGCTCAAGTAGAAAGAAAATGATGGCAACATATGTACAAATGTGCTCGATACAATTGATGTGTGGATTGTTTTAAGAGCTGTAAAAGCCCCCAGTAAAATGATTTATCAAAAGTAATAAATAAAAATTACACATGGACTACAAATGGATTTTAAAACGTTTTGCATCGAAATAAACTCAATAATTTGTTAGCCTGGCTG